TAAAAGCTTCCTGGGCATCAGAGACCCACGTGGGGTTAACCTGCCAGTTCCTGATTGGCTGATGATGAGTAACCATGCACTCTGACCTTAGGGTCGTAAACCAACTTTAAATAACACTTTCCCTTGAAATCTCAGACTTTTAGGCGCCTCAAATGAGCATTTATTAAGGTGGTTGATGGGTACCAGCTTTGGGAGATGCTCCTTATCAGGACACTCTATCAGCTAGAAAAACCTTAAGTGAACCAAATGGAATGGTCTCTCTTTATCACGCACCACTGAGATGAAGGAGAGAGGGACTGGCAAGGGAGCAGAAACCTTAATTCCTGTACTTTAATAAACCTTGCCGCTACAAGTACATTTAAGTCATTAGTGGACTGGAACATATTTTCCAGTATTTGCCTGTACTTTGCTCTGTCCATTATACCTGCAATCCTAACAAGCTCTACAGTCTCTGCTGAGGAGGAGCATCCCCACAGCATGATGCTGTCCCCACCCTGCTTGTCTGCAGAGACAGTGCTGACAGGAGATCTGCTGTGCTGGGTCTGTGTCAGACGTACTGTAACACTCAGCATTTATACAAGAAAGTTGCAATCAAGTCTAATCTAACAACACCTTTTGCCATTTTTTTTCCCCCAGAATGACTGAGGTGCTTCATGAAAGCTCCATGCAGGATTTTAGACATGTCTTTTTTCAGATCCATTCAAGCCCCACTGTGGAGTGCTTTGGATATTGTTGAGCCACAGACAACATCCTCCAATCTCAGCCACTGTCCTCTAACTCTTCCAGTGTCTGTTGTCCTCACGGTGTGCTCCTTGTCTGTGAGCTCAGTGTGGAGGGACAGTCTGATCCAGGCAGTGTCTGGTTCTCTTCTCCCTCTGATTGATCCACTTCACCTCAAAGAAATGCTTAGACTTTGAAACAGTTTTATATTCCTTTCCTGATCTTTTCTCCAATTTTGACACCAAAATTATGGTCATAGTCCTCAAACACCTCTCTTCACTACCTTTCCCAGCAGATCTTTATA